AACCATTTGTATGAAGCAGGCCTTCTCCCTATATTTCAAGTAGAGAAACATTATAGCAGGTCAAATACAAGAATCCATATTACAATGAAAGAACTTTCGCTCTTTCATTAAGAGCTAGCATTTCTTACCTGGACCATGCTATAGAGAAGCATCCAATGGCTTGGACTCAGTGTGGTGCCCCCGTGCTATCCTGAGTCATGCCTACCGCACAGAGTTACACCCACCATTCCTTTTCTGCACTAGGAAAGTCACCACAATAAAAAGGTCAGAAATGCCTTATTATGGTAATGAAGAGAGATTTTCCATCTTGGAGCCCTAAAATGATCCAGAGATGAGTGAGGCTTCCAAAGACCTATAGACCAAAATTTAGGATGTACTGATGTCTACAAATGTAGATGTTTGCTTATAAAAGTGACCGATTTACAAATGAGATGCATGTGCTTTTGGATTTTAATGCTGGAGAATCAAAACCTGGGCCTTAAACACACTTCTTACCTCCCCCCCCCCCCCCCCCACTGTACTATGTAGACCTTTATCTGCTACCTAAGACTTTTTTTTTGTTAAAGGAAAACATACAGGTATGGCTATACTTTAACCCAAAACTTCAAGGTCTATCTAAAGAAGGCACAGCAAAGGAAGTCGAGTGAATAACATTGGGAAGCTGAGAGCGATATTAGGGATAAGGTGGGAAAGAAGACTGGAGCTTTGCTGAAATACTTATCTCTTTGTAGCCCATATTTCTTGGGTAGATTTTTTAAATATTTTATTGTTATTATTAAGGTGTTGTACAGAGGGGTTGTCATTTCATAAGTCACGAAATCAGTGACATTCCTTTCGTTTGCCAAGGTTACCCTTTCTTTTGCTTTTCCCCTATTTCCCTCTTCCGTCCCTGCCCTCCAGTTTTGTAGTTTGTTTTCCACATAGTCTATACTTAATAACATGATTGCATTTTTTTCACCCTTCCTCCTTTCCTTTCTGTGCCCCCGTCCTCCCTCCCCCCACTTAAAAACCCAAATGCCCAACACCACCACTACCAAAATAATAGTAACCAAAAAACCCCATGTTTCAATAAATAGTATTTAAAATGTTCAGAGAAGTTATACCTTTAGGTTCTTCCACTAAGTATATCCTCCTCTAGTTTGTGTGTGAATGCCTAGCGTCCTATATAAATTATGTCCCATTATATTTTAGATCTAGCTTCCACATATGAGAGAACATATACACCATTTGTCTCTCTGAGCTTGGTTTACTTCACTTAGCATGATTTGTTCTAATTCCATCCACTTAAAAACGAAAACAAAAACTTGCAACAAGAACAGAATCAAGCCATTTGCTTCATAGATGATGCCAGTAATCCCAGCTACTCAAGAGACTGAGATCTAAGGATCATAGTCTGTAGCCAGCTTAGGCAGGAAAGTCTGTACAACTCATATTTCCAAGTAAGCCACCAGAAACCTGGAAGTAGAAGTTGTAGCTCAAGGGGTAGAGCACCAGCCTTGAGAGTATGAGGCCCTGAGTCCAAGACCCAGTACTGGCTCACACAAAACAAATCACAACCTCATTGTACAACTACGTATATAAGAATATATAAAATAAAATGCAAAACTTTTGTATAAAAAATATATAAAATAAAAACTTTTAAAACCTTTTTTTCTCCCCATGCACATTAAAAGACAATTTTAAAAAGTCTTTCTTCAGTTGTATAGTAATATCTGATCATCTGTACAACCAGAGCTTCACTTTATATCTGTTACAAAGATTAAAACATTAGAATTGTTTCATTTTTGCTGTTAAACTTAGAAACATAATGATGTTAATTTGCCCAAGGGGATATAAAGAGATTATATCTGATTTCTTTACCTCCCCTAATTTAAACTTGAACTTTTTTTTTTTTTGGGTCCGGTCCTGGGGCCTGAACTCTGGGCCTAGGTGCTGTCCCTCAGCTCTTCAGCTCAAGGCTAGCACTCTACCACTTGAGCCACAGCACCACTTCTGGCTTTTTTTTTTTTTTTTTTTCTGTTTATTTGGTGCTAAGGAATTGAATCCAGGGCCTCATGCATGCAAGGTAAGCACTCGGCCACTGAGCCACCTTCCTAGCCCAAAACTTGAGCATATTTTAACTTTTCTTTTCTTTTTGTCAGTTGTGGGGCTCGAACTCTGGGCCTGGGCACTGTCCCTCAGTTCTTCAGCTCAAGGCTAGCACTTTACCACTTGAGCCACAGTGCCACTTCTGGTTTTCTGGGCGATTTATTGGAGATAAGAATCTCATGGACTTTCCTGCCCAGGCTTTGAACCATAATCTTCAGATCTCAGCCTCCTGAGTAGCTAGAATTACAGGTGTGAGCCACTGGTGCCCAGCTTATTTAAACTTCTCTAAGAAAATATACCTTTAGAAGGATTTTAAAATTCAGACAGTAATGGCAAAATTTACAGAATTCATCCAAAACTTATAGAAGACAGCCTTTATTTTTTGCTTAGAAAAAAGTTTGAGGCTGAATTGAGACTATTAAACTCTAAAATTTAGATGAATGGATCAAGAAAATGTGGTATATATACACAATGGAATTCTATGCCTCCATCAGAAAGAATGATATTGCCCCATTTGTTAGGAAATGGAAAGACTTGGAAAAAATTATATTAAGTGAAGTAAGCCAGCCCAAAGAAACTTAGGTCCCATGGTTTCCCTTATTTGCAATAACTAGTATATGTCTGAGCCAAGCAGAAAAGGTCAGATAAATTGATGTTAGGGAAATGAACCCTAAGATATGTATTCAAGTATTTTTTTCTTTCATGTGATTGTTTCTAACACATTTATAAGATTATTTCTTTGTTGCTTTGTATGTCCCTCCCCCACAGTATAACCCCTGCTTTCACTGTATTTGATTTCGGTATAATTTGTGGAGGGGAAGGGAAAAAACAAATCGTTTAAATAGGGATACAGGTGGACCCATTGCAACAATGAGACATATAAGTCATTATGTCGAAAATGAACTTTACAACTTCGGTGTGCGGGGAGGAGAGTTGAGTGGGGAGGATGGGATGGGAAGGGGAAACAAAGGAGGAGGCTACAATGCTTGATAAGAAATGTACTCATTGTCTTGCCCATGTAATTGTAACCCCTCTGTACAGTATTTTCACAATAAAAATAATAATAAAAGGAATGCAAAAGAAAAAATCGAAAATAGATAACATTTGTTAGATAAAACCCTGGTTATTTGGAATGGGGTTGGGTTGACATTTAATCACTGCACTATTCTTAGGGGAAAGGGGTCATAATAAGCGATTTAGTCATAAATAGAATTGTTCAAGGGGACGGTTGTCTTCTTTCAATAAAATGTCACAAAGTTAACTGCTTAGGACTGCTAATGAACATACCAATTTGAATATTAATCTTATTTATTACATTTGGGAACATTTACTAGGCAGCATTTAATTCCCTTTTGCTTTGATATGTTCTTGAAATGTGTACTCATTTAAAGCTGTTCTTATTTAAATTTACACTAATTTAGGCAAGCCTTCACCCTTGCCCTTCATTTTGTCTGAATTAAGAAGATCACACGGTGTTAATTGTGAACATTTGCCAAAACAAGATCAAGGCTATTAAAACTTAGTAAAATCATTATGGTGTTTATAATGAGGCCATTGGAATACTATAGTTTGGAGGATTTTATGAATAAAGAATGAAGTTTATATTTACATGATTGCAATGTGTCTTTTACTCTGTAATAAACTGGTGTCTGTATCCACAATAGCACTCTTAAACACAGGAAGTTACTTTGCAGTATTTTTTTGGTTTTTGGTTTTGTTTTTGTTTTTGGGTCCGGTTGTGGGGCCTAAACTCTGGGCCTGGGCACTGACCCTCAGCTCTTCAGCTCAAGGCTAGCACTCTACCACTTGAGCCACAGCACCACTTCCGGCTTTTTTCTTTTTGCTTATGTGGTGCTGAGGAATCGAACCCAGGGCCTCAAGCATGCAAGGCAAGCGCTCTACCCCTGAGCCACCTTCCCAGCCCCTGCAATATTTTTTTATACCAAAGTTAGGGGGACGCAACATACATGAAACTGTTAAAGTAATATGAAATCAAGTACTAAATTGCCAAGGGAATAATGGGAGGACCAAATAAATACAAGATGACAACTGATGGCAGAAATGTACTGGTGAATGAATATGGTTCTATTAAGTTTCTTGTTTATTTGGTGTTTTCTGAGCATGTTCTTGTTCTCATTGATAACAATTGCTATTATTTCCATTTAGTGATAACAGAGATCAGGGGGTCTGGATCTGCAGATAAAAAGGTTAATCAAGCTATCGCTCAACAGTGGCCAGTTCTGAGACAACATTATTAGAAGCATAGAGACTGGCCCAGTACTCTAAATGTAAAGTTCATAGATGCTCAGATCTGGGTGACAGCAACTGAAATGGGGTTGATATAAAAGAAGCTTGAGGATCGATGAAATGGACTTGGTGACTAATGCAAGGGTATAGAAAGGCTAAAGAGCAGGCAAAGGAGGCAGAGATGACTTCATAGATTTCTGAGCCAGAGAGAATGAGCTGTGAAGGGTTGACAATGCCAGAGTTGGGAGAAGAAATGATGAAGCAATTAATTTTCAACTTGCTAACTTTGGGTCACAAGGAAACATCCTTTATAGCATGAAGAGAAGAGTAAGAGCCATGGTACAAAGTCCTAACTTAGAGAGCAAGATCTAGCTCTTGGCCTAGTCTTGTACAGTTGGGGCAGAAGGAAGAGGAGCATGGTAAAGGAAGACAGCCAGGACAGTAGGGCTTACTTGATCTCAGGGCAGGGCCAGCAAAGATAAGGTGATCACAGGAAGAAATGGTTTCTACCTAAGTGGAGGGGTTCACAGGTGAAGAGAAAAAAAATTTAAAAATGAGTGTTTTTTGTTAGCTGCCCCCAGGAATAGTTCCCAATTAGATTTCTGTAACCAAATACCATCATGGCTATTCTGCTAGTAACCGGCCTATGTGTTTCAATCCTTCAGGTGGTATTGGAATGCTATGTAAGAAAGGACTTGGTCTACACCAAAGCCAATCCAACGTTTCATCATTGGAAGGTTGATAATAGGAAGTTTGGACTTACTTTCCAAAGCCCTGCTGATGCGCGAGCCTTTGACAGGGGAGTGAGGAAAGCAATCGAAGACCTTATAGAAGGTATTGAACTTTTCACTGTACCCTTAGTGGGATGATGGAAATGCTCCAAGTTGTTGCCATCATATATTTGTGGTTTGCTCGTGGGAGGGTTTGGGACCAGGTCAGAACTTTCTAAATATCTAGAGAGAGTAATTACAAAGTGACAACACAGGAGAAAATGAGGAGTTTTATTTTATAATAGTCATTGCTACATCTGGTCCTGGCCTGGAAGAGCCTCCAGACAGGAGTTCTCATACTGGGTTTCTCCAATTCAACACTTCAAGTCAGAGGGAGGACGAGAGGAGCTATATTCAGAGCCCTGAGAAGAAAGAAATTTCTAACATGCATATTAATGCCAAATCCAAACTTTGGGAAAATGAGTCACAAGTAATGTATGTTTCATTACAAGACTTCAAGTTTTTCTTTGTGATTTGGGAAAAGGAAAGCAAATCATTGCATTTAGCAGCGGCCTATGCCTGTAATCATAGCAACCCAGGAGGCTGAGATCCATAGTAGAGAAAGTCATGGATGACCACTGGGAATTGCACAGAGGCTGCTGTGGGCTTCATTTTGTCTCCTGTTTCCCTCTTGGAAATTCAATTTGTTTTGGGTTCCCTCCCCCCCTCATTCATTTCCAACAGTTCTTTTATTTACTTTTGTGTGTGTATACCATTACCAGAGTTTGAACTCAGAACCTGAGTGCTGTCCCTGAGCTAGCACTCTTATCACTTGAACCACAGCTCCACTTCCAGCTTTTTTGGTAGTTTATTAGAGATAAGGGTTTCATGAACTTTCCTGCTTGGACTAGCTTTGAACTGCAATCATCCGATCTCAGCCACCTGAGCAGCTAGGATTTTAGGTGTAAGCAACTGGTGCCAGCTTCAGCAATTCTTTTCATCTTTTCATGTTTTATCATAACAAAATACTTTGTAAGTACACATTGTATAAACCATGACCAAGAAAAGGAAAAGACAAAAATTTTGGGCTGTCTATTGCCTATACAGATTTCGATGTTGGTTTTTTGGATATTGTTTTTGTCAGTGAAATTAAAGCATAAAATGAACAAGAAAACAAGTTGAACTTTACTGACCTGGTTCATTCCATGGTAGAATAAGCTGGGTTTTCATACAGGAGCCTTCATTTTGACCTGAAAAGGCAATTATAACTCAGTGGGCTTCTGACAGTGTAAGAGAAAACCTTCCTGGTATGGCTTAGAACATAGTTCCTGCCATCTGGGTATTTTTGTTTTGTTTTGTTCTGGGGTTTTTTGTGCCAGTACTAGGGCTTGAACTCAGGCCAGTATGCTCTCCCTGGGCTTTTTCCCTCAAGGCTAGCAGCTACTCTTCTACTTGAGCCACACTTCTACTTCCCACTCTTTGCTGGTTAATTGGAGATAAGAATTTCATGGACTTTTCTTCTCAGGCTGGCTTCAAGCCGGGATCCTCACATCTCAGCCGCTAGATATAAGCCACTAGGACCTAACTAATCTGGAGTTTAGAGTGTAGTATCTGAACTCAGAATGGGAGCCTGCACAGCCAAAACTTCTTCGTCTCTAGATGAAGCTAATGAAGTTAAGTCCAATTGCCACAGTCAGACTGGAGAGTCTGATTTGAGGGGTTCCCATGTAGGTGTTTTTCCTTCCACAGCTAGAATGTGGAGGTCACTACAAAGGAGTGCACCTTGACCTCCATGGTGCTTGTTTTCTGGTGGCCAGGGCACAAGCAAGTCTGAGAGGTTAACTGGCAACAGCATCAGTAGGTAAAGTTAGTTGAGGAAGCAATTAACAGGTAGCTTGTTTGTACTGGCACAATTCTTGTGCAAAAAGAATGGAATGTAATTTTTATTAAAATATGCTTTTTTGCTAGGCATTATAGCTCAGTGCTTGCCTGCATTTATAAAGCCCTAGCAGTGCAGAAAAAAAAAAAAAAAAGAAAACACCAAAACAGTTTTTTAAATGATTGATTTCACTTAAATGCTTTGGGAAAAAACTTTGACTTTTTTTTTTTTTTTTTACATTCTTGTCTTTTTAGGTTCAACAACATCATCTTCCACAATTCATAATGAAGCCGAGCTTGGTGATGATGATGTTTTTACAGTAAGTTTTCTTTCACCTTTGCTTTCCATGTTAGGTGATGAGTAATCAAAGAAAGACTCTTTCACAGCATCAAAAACCCTTTACTATGTGGCATTTGCTGTTGCCATATGGGTGCTATCAGAGAGATCTCAGTCTTGTCCCAGTTTCCAGCTGTTGCTCACGCTGCAGGGGTACCATCCGCCACGCAGTACTAAGTGTCAACTCTCCCAGATCTGTCCAAAGTTGTCACAAAGTCTTCTCACAGATTTAGTGACTTAGCTGCTCTGGATCACCCTGGATAGCACCCGTGATAGTCCCTTGTCCTAGAAAACTCCTGGGTCCCTAGCAGACCAAGACAGTTGATCACCCTTTTAAGAGCTTTCTATTCACACATATCCCTGGCATGGAACAATGAGCCTGAAGAACCCTTCCTGATGAGTAATTCTACATCTGATAAGAATGGGCCTAGAAGCTGAATGGAGGTTAGGCCCAAGTCTGCTCAGAGAGGAAAGTGCTTAGATGTTTTGACCCAGCTTGAGTTAATGAGATGTAACTGGGGACAAACTGATTTCTCAGCTTGCTTCTTCATTTAAATCCTGTGCTTCTGGAGGTTAATTAACAGATACTTGTTGCTTGCCTGTTGTGTGCTGAGAGCAGCAAGTTGCTGTCAGCTAGCATTTTCAAACTCAGCACCTTGATCTACAGTAAGAAAATTTTTTTGACCCAGGATTCACACACATCAGTAGCTACCTAAAAGCTAATCATACTTCATACTCTGCGTTCTTAGTTCTTTGTTTCATTTTCTTTGGTTATTTCTTACGAAACTCTCAAACACAGAAAAATGTAAAGAGTTACTTAGTGAAGAAATACCTTGATTCAGGCACACTTGTTTAGTTGCCTGTGTGTAATTGCCCACATTTATGTACATATAGGCCCATGTGCACACACCCATAAGGGTTTGTTTGTTTTTTTTTTTGGTGAGGGGAGTAGCTGATTATTTGAAAGTAAGTTCTCCTAAATTCTTTATCATGCATATCCTAAAAAGTATTCACAGGGGAATTTTAGGGTAGTGAAACCAGTCTCTGATGGTATACTTGGTGGATGCATTCATTGTACATGGGTCCAAACCCATAGCATATACAACACCAAGATCAAAGTCTTATGTAAACTACAAGCCTTGAGTGATAATGATGTATAAATAAAGGTTCATTGATTGCAAGTAGGGTATACTCTGGTGGAGGGTATTGATAACAGGAGAGACTGTGTATTTGTGTGGCAAAGTATCTATGGGGAGTACAGATACCTTTACTTAGTTTTGCTTGTCAATCTGAAAAATTGAACAAAACGGTTTTGTGTATATTCCAGTATTAGGGTGCCCTTAGCTTTTTTGTTGAAAGCTGGTGTCCTACCACTTGATCACAAATCTTCCACTTCTGGCTTTTTTGGTGGCTAATTGGAGATAAGACTCATAGACATTTCTGCCTGAGCTGGCTTTGAACTACAGTACTTAGCTCTCAGCCTCCTGAGTAGCTAGGATTTCAAGTGTGAGCCACTGGTGCCAGCTAAGACGTTTGTTAAATAAGTCATTTCCCTGTACAGTCACACTTACTATCCCTAAGCAAATTAATAATTATTTCATAGTGTTATCTTAATACTTCTTAATTACCCAGTTATCCCCAAACTGTCTTTTATCACCTAGCTTTTATTCCCATCTTAAAATATTGTGTTTGGAGTAACCCGTTCAATTGTTTCTCAGTAGTGCGCTGATGATTTGTAACTAATGATACGAAAATCACTGCTTTGGAAATATACAGGGGTGCAAGCCATGTGTCCAACCCTCAGGAAGCTAATAGAATGGTTTGCAGAGGTGAGCAACTGGCAGATTGTGGGACACAGTCTGTGCTTGAGATGAGGAAGGGGCAGAGTCATAAAAGGCCTAGCTGGACTGTGCTGGGCCACCCTGACCACACTTAGTCTCATCTGATCTCAAGCTTGGATAGATCCTGTGGCATATGAACGTGGCTCTGAAAAGGACTCCATACGATGGAGCCCCAGGGGCGAAGGCACAAGCAAGAGTGAGTCGAGTGGTGGGTTTGGGTTGCCTGAGCAGCGCGTAGGGGGTTCAGGAAATGAACTCAGTTGCCCTTCCTTGGGGCGACTGGTGTGATGTGGCTCTGTACAGGCTTCCCCTCACACTCCAAGCAGATCCTCTCAACAGTTGGCATGTTGCTTACATCTGTTCTTTTGTCACGTTTTGGGAGACAAACAACAGCAGGCGGGTTAAAAGGTGGCTTCCTGTGCTCCAGAGCAAAACTGTCCCTCGCAGCTGCTTCTCAGCTACCTGCCAGAAGTGATTTATAGAATCGGGAGAGGTTGAGAGGGGAAGGGATGATGGAAGCCAGAATCCCTCCTGGTTTTGTCCTTTAATCCACAGGGGATCCACATGCCGTTCCAGGGTAATGCTGAACGCCTGGAAGAAAGTTTAGAAACAGCCCTGCTGTTTCTATGCAGTTGGAAATTCACAGGGGAGGGAGCTTGACTTAATGAATTACATTCCAAGTAGGCCCTCTTGGATGTGGTCAACTGCCCTGGTTTCACTTGTTTACAATCAAGGGCTTGTTAATGACATCCCTGCTTCCAGAAAAGCCCATATTTAGGCCTAGGCTGCTGATGGTTGGGGACACATCCCATGGAGAAATGGAAGGGAGGGTTTTATAAGCCAGGTTCCCATTTGTCCATGAGGTCCCTGTGACTAGACTTTGTGTCCCAAAGACAGTAAATAAGTCTGAAGCACAGAGCCAAGAAAGTAGGGGTGGGAGGGTGGGGCTGCTTTATCTCCTGTGTAGTCTACAACTTCCCAAGTGATGTTGTGTTCTAAAAAATCACTGGGAAGACAGATGTTTGAAACTTGGCACTCGTTTATCAAACAAAGGGTTTAAACAGTGATAAGACCATCATACAACTTACGATGAACCAGAGGAGAACGGCCTGTCAGTGGAAAAATCTTGAGAGTTGTCACTCGCGAAATTGGGGGTACATCTTTTCAGTTTTCTGCTGCCAGGGCCAGAGATTTCTGTCTGGGGTGAAGAGAGTCGGGGGGCGGATTTCTTGGTGCTAGGAAGAAAGCAACACACAGCAGATAATATGTGGGTGGCAAGAACACAAACATTTCTTAATGTATCTGCCTCAGGGAAGGTTGTAGTTTGGGCATGGCTAAGGGTTCACGTGTTGGAAGCTTAGTCCCCAGAGTAGTGATGCTAAGTGATGCAGAAACTTGCAGACAGGAGCCCTCTCGGGTGCTTATGTCACTGAGGGCACTGTCCTCATAGAACCACTGATTAATCTGTCGGAGAGACTTGTTAGCCTGTCCCTTCCCAGCCTCTGTGTATGTCATGTGATCTCTCCCACATTGATCCCACCGTTAGAATGCCTTCTTGAGCATGGCCCTCACCACAACCTAGCTGATGCAGGTACCATGACCTTGAACCTCCACAACGGTGAACTAAGTAAAATTCTCTGTAAAACTTCCAGCCTCTGGTATTTTGTTTCAGTATAGAAGAATCCTAGAAGGGACTTTCCACCCCAGTTATGTACCCCATGGAGTGGTTTTATGGGTTGGGTCGGTACTCACAAGCCATGAGCTGTCTCTAGTCACATTTCCCCTACTCTTAAGTCATCCCCCAAACCTGCTTGTCTCCTCACTTCTCAGGATGAGGAGCCAGGTTGCGTTCCTGGAGGGAAATGCCCTTCCCGTGCAGTTGGTTGCCATTTGCCAACCCTGGCCTGTGGTCTCCATCTCACCACCCCAGTTTGACACATTGTCAGAAATTCCTAGCTAGCCACTGCTCTGACTCTCTTAAATGTTGAGCTGTTTATTCTATTTTATGTTTCCTAATACTTCTCCTTCACCCAGTTATAATTGTTTCTTCTTGAAACTCCCATAGCATTTTGCTTTTTGGGTTTTTTGTTTGTTTTTTTTTTGTTTTTTTTGGTTTGTCATGGGGCTTGAACTCTGCATCTGGGCACTGTCCCTCAGCTCTTCAGCTCAAGGCAAGCGCTCTACCACTTGAGCACAGCGCCACTTCCAGTTTTCTGGTGGTTTTATTGGAGATAAGAGTCTCATGGACTTTCCTACCCGGGCTGGCTTTGAACTGGGATGCTCAGATCTCAGCCTCCTGAGTAGCTAGGATTACAGGCGTGAGCCACCGGCGCCCAGCACATTTTGCTTTTCACTTCTCTCTTGCCCTTTTAGATGCTGTTTGCTGAATGAATGTTCATCTCACAGTTTATAAATAGATTATTTGTCATTGAAGTCTCTCTGTGCTGGTAAACCTTCACTGTTAGGTGTTGAATGATGGAATCGTGGATGATCTGAACCTCAGGAATATTGTTATAATCACAGACTTCCCTGATTTATTTATCTACTTGATTGTTATTGTCAAGTACTGCTTAAAGTGGGTGATTTTGAGAGCTTTCTCAAATGCTTCTTCTTGTATTTTTAGCTGCGATTTCTGCTCCGTCTGCAGTTAGGATCTGAGCCCTCAGCCTGGGTGCTCACCCTAAACTTGTGCTACTCTACTTCTTGTCTTCCCTCCTGCCTTGCATCACAGACCCTGCCCCCTCGGCTCTACATGGGGACCCAGGTTAGATAGCACAGCACAGCCCACAAACACAAAGGTGGCAGGGGTATCTCCAGCATTGAATATGGATGCATGAAGGAATTCCAACATCTGAGCCATTTGTTTCAAACTTGTAAACTAGATAGTGCAAAGAATATAAAACGGCAGCTGAGGCTAGCATTCTATGACATAGGAGTCTGGGGCTCTGCGAAGAGATGGCTTATTTTTCTTGGTGCCTCCCACAGGTAAATAGGAACAGAGCTGAAAGCTGTTCCTTTACCGTAGGCTCCCTCTGTTGCACTCCGATGACTGACATGTCTTGGGGGAAGGCTCAAGTAAACTTGTCCAGTCAACACTTCAGCTCTGTGCACTTAACTAGTTGACTTTCCCCCAGCTTTAGGACATCTCCCTCCTGGATTCCTGCAGTTCAGGACCCTTACAAGAGACGGTTGGGAACAAGGTAGTGAGGAGAGACTATGGGCTGTCAAAACTAGAGATATTCCAGGTTTGATGGCCATCTTATAATTTTTCTAAATTTCTATCGGGAAACTTTGATCCATTAGAACTTGGTGGTTTGTTTTCCTGTAGAGGCTTAAAAATCATTTGAGAAAGTTGCGGGTATATTCAAGGATAAGTTCTGAATGCCCTTGAGAGGATGTAGCTGCATACATGCGCACTTCTGGAGTGGGCTAATCCAGAATCAACACTCAAGTGCTCCATCGCCCCAGCTGTTCCCACACTGAGTGGCTGGACCCTGACTGTCAAGCTGTAGGATTAGGGAGACATGTGCTTTATAGGAAGATGCTTGAGGGTGTATAGTCAATCCTTCATCTTCCATAATAAGAAGTCCTTAAATAATACCTAAATCCGAACAGCAGGAAATGGTAGTCCAACCCTGGCATTTTAAAAACGGAGACAAATACCATAAGCAAGAGCCACAAGAAGTGAAAGTAAGTTCCTCTGGGGAACAAAAGACTAAGAAGCTGGGGGGGGGGGGGGGGGGAAATGTAGTGGCTATTTGATTTATTAAATGGTTAGCTGTAGAAATACTGTTTTTACTGTTTTTTTTTTTTTAAGGGAAGGAAGTTAGAGGGAAAGGGGGTTTTCTCCAGATCGGCACAAAAGGGAAGAAGGAATTTACAGGGACACAAGTTATAGCCATCCTGACCTTTACCCATGCACACACACACACACGCGCGCGCGCGCACACACACGCACACACAGCCAGTCTGACTTTAAAGAGATTATAGAACTTCAATAGAGTCTGTCCTGTGGCTCTCTCCGGTTATTTCCACCGTGGCTACAGAAGCCCTTCCTGCTCAAGTCCCTCGCATGAAATGTTGTAGTATTTGCTGCATTTAGCCAAACACATCCATCCTTTTGTATACTTTAGACCATCACCACTTTATAATCTAGATGTGTTAAAATTCCTGACACAATGTATGTGTTGAACTGTATTGTTCAGGGTATAATAACAAGAAAAGCGTCTGCACATTTTCAGTAGAGACACAATTTTTTCCTCAATGTTTTCCACCCGTGGTTGGGTAAATCCATGGGTACACAAGGTCCTCTGAAAAGCTACCAGGTAAACAATGGCACATCAGGGTAAGACAACTGGGAGCTAGCTAGGAATATTGGCTTGCCGGGAGGCAAGGAGAAGTGTAAACAGAACACAGCCTTAGAACTGTAGGTGTTAGGATTGGAAAAGATTGTGACCTCGTCTGCTTTAACATCCTTCCTGCTGGCAAATGGAGTCGCGTAGGCCCCTTGCAAAAACAGCCAGACTTGCCTAAGGTGTCGCACGCAGCTGGTTCAACAGACTATATGACAGAATTCATTCTCTGGGGCCCAAATTGGAAAGAGGAGAGAGAAGAGATACACACAGGCCCAGTGCATATGTAGTCCCTTTCTGTGATGGACACAGGGCCCTGCTGTAGGAAATCTGTATTCCCAAGGTTCCTAGAACATCAGCTTGAAGCTTGATCACAGGAAGCCTCCACTATAGAAGGTGACAGGTAGGTAGGGTTTTGACCCCTTTGAGATTTCCAGCAGCAGAGTATTTAGCATTTAGCTTCTATTTTTGGACAGTCTTTCCCAACCAGGTCCTAAATGTAGACAATGAGTATGCTTCTCTCCCGTGTACTTAGTGTACCTACTATGTGCTATTGAAGAACTAAAGGGAGTCAGACAGCCCCACGCCTTTTTTGTTTTTTTTTAACTCATATTATAGCTTTAACTCAGTCCTTTGGTGCTCACTCTACTACTTGAGCCACAACTGGTTAATTGGAGATAAGAGTCTCACAGTCTTTCCTGCCAAGGTTGGCTTTGAACCATGATCCTCAGATCACCTCATTTTTGTGTGCAGCTTCCTGCTCCTGCACAGCCCAGTTGGAAGAGGCTATACTGGGACTGTGTTTGGGTGTTTCCTCCTCCCTTGTTTTTTTTCCTGTAGACAGTCCCCTTTCACACAGGAAAGCTGCCCTGTCTTTTTGCTGCTGTTGCAACTTCTGGCTCTTTGGCCTAGACTGGAAAACTCGGTCCTTCCTCATGCACTATACTTGAACCCTTGACATCCTGTTTATTATAAGCAGTTTGTGACTTTCTGCCTGTTCATTGCAGTTGTCCCTGGTGACATCTTGGACCCCTCCCAGCCAGCCTAGGTGTTCTCTGAAGCGTAGGGTTAAAACCAAAGCACCAAAAAGCAATCTGTTGTATCTTCATGGGTTTCTGAGTGTGTGCAGGTCTTACCTGTTTTCATCCTTAATTCAGTGGGTACCGTGACTACCTTGTTCTTTGGTCATCATGGTATCACAGGGGCAGGAAGGACAGAATGCCACATATTTCTCTTTTCTTGAAGCATGTTTTTCTATCTGCTGCCTCCCCAGGAAGTTTTAAAGCAGAAAGCAAATGTCCTTGTTGTGTAGGAGTGACGTTCCTTTGCAGTTTTTCCTTGTGCGTGTGTGTTGATGCTGGGCCTGACATTGTCCCTTATAGCTTTTATGGCTCAAGGCTGGCACTCTTCCAATGGAGCCCCAGCTCCACTTTTGGCTTTTTGGTGGCTAATTGAAGATAAGAATCTCACAGACTTTTCTGCCCAGGCTGGCTTTGTTTGAAATGAAGTCCTTAGATCTCAGCCTCTTGAGTAGCTAGGATTACAGGCGTGGGCCACCAGCATCCAGCTTCCTCTTCAGATTTTCTAAGAAGGGAAATTTTTGGAAAAGGTGAAGTGGGTTTGTTTTCTTGGTTATAGTTTGGAGCCTGGATTTTCACCTTGGTCTTGCTCTTAGTTAGCTGTCTGTGTTCACTGATGCCTTGCACTCAAAACCTTTTCAGAGTAACATACTTCCTCTGTATCTGTTTTCCCACCTGAGTGGAGGAAAGCAAAGGGACCAAGATATGGAGATGGCCCTGGCCCATGTGACAATTGTGCTTCTCACAACTGACCTGTGCACACGTTTGACACCTCCATCTCAGCAGAAAACGCTACCAAGGCTCAAAGAGATGAACTGGCCTGTGTTGGGTGCTACACTCTGCTCACCCACAATATAGACTCTAATCCTGCTTTTACTACTTTTCAGAAAAGTTGAAGAGAAGGAAATACTTAGTCAATATGTTCCAGAAAATTGTACGCGTTTAGTGTTTGAGATTCTTCTGATGGCAGGATTTTGGCTTAATTCACACCACCATCACTCTTTGCACCCTTTCCACCACCCACCCACCCCCTTTCCTCAGAAGAGGTGTGAGGAACCTTTGGGGCCTGCTGGAAAGGCCCCATCTCATGTCCCTCTCTTGTCTTTGTTTATTTTGAGATCAAGTCTTTCTATCCTGCTTCAGCCTCCCAGGTGCCAGCATGACAGGGGTGTGTCACCATGTCCAGCTCTGTCTTTACCTTTGAACTTCAAGAATTAGCGCAAGAGTGGGGAAGGTGAGCAGGAAATAAGAGAGAAAATACCTTGAAAGTATGAATTACTACATAGTTTAAGGAGTTAAGCTGATTATGGTAGTTTGTTAAGAAAAGCAAAAATGGACCAGGCATGGTGTAGGTACTAGTGATTCCTGCTCTCTGGAGACTGAGGAAGATTGTGAGTTTAAGGCTAACCCAGACTACAAATTAGGAACCTGTCTAAAAAAAAGGGGGGGTGGAGGAAGTAGGAAGGCTGGGCAGAGAAAGCTCAGTGTTAGAAACTTTGTCCAGCATATATATACTAACAAGTCCTGGGTTTGATTCCCAGCACTGCAGAAGGAAAAAAAAGAAAAGAAAATGTCTTCTAAGGTTTTGCCCTCTGCTTTGCTTACACCTGGGGGTATCGAACCTACCACCACCTGCTGCTGTTGTTGGCTGAGATCTAGTACTGGTAGGGCTGGTAAGGAAGCTCCCAAAAGATGAATGAGAGCTCCTGTATCTTCTAAATGACAGTAATTATCAAGTTCACATTACACTGTAAGAAGAGGATCTTTTAATTTAACATGTAATACCTACAATGGCTCAATTAAAGCAATTAACTGTCTAAGGATCCAAACAAAAGCTCTGACATACTCTCAGTTTCTGGAAGCCCAAAGGCATTTTACTAGCCCCCCACCTGTGTCTGTATTTGCATATACATCAGCTCATCTTTTTTCAGCTGTGGGGACTAAGCCACTTATGTCCACTTTGTGAATTCATGCACAGCACATAGTCAGGGGCCCCTGAGACCCAGCCTTCCTGCTCCCAGCCCTTCCAGTAAAGCTCAAATGCAGTTGATTTTCTTCCATACATTGACATCTATCCTCAGAAGTTGAAAATGTAAGCTGAGAGCCATACCCATGCTAGCAAGTGCTTTACCACTGAGCAATACTCCACGCTTTTCTTAAAAGTTGTTTTTGGTTCTGTGATTTTCCCAATAGAAGAATCCTCCAGATCCTAATGAGACCATGTGTCCCAGAAGCAGGACAAAGTCCTCTTTCCCCCAGCAGCTTCCTCAGACCCCATTGCTGGTTCCACGATGGTGGAAGGCTGTGTCAGCATGTGTCCTCTACTTGCTTCTTCGAAAAAGGACACTTGTAGGCTCAGGACCTGTTCCCAAATACCTGTTAAGAAAATAGCTGACAACTCCCAGTGCCCACAGAGAGAGAGAATTGGCTAAGGGTCTGTCCAAGTCACTTGTACCTCCCCAGTATAAGATTGGGAGGTGAGGGGGTAGAGGATGGAAGGGAAACGTACAGATATATTTCAGTAAAATGAAAATCTCTTGCAGTGATGAAATGTTGCTTTGGTTATGTCAGCTGTCAAGCTGAACTCTATTTTGATGGTAGATTGCAGCAAAAATAATGCAAATGTGGTTATAATTTGTAGTTTACCCACCTTAAAAAAAAAGTCAAAATATCAACAGTCTCTGCAGATAGGACAGAAATTCTGCTGAAACTACAAATGGCTCCTGTCACTCTTGAACCACAGAAAAGTCAGGCTTGGTCAGACTTCTCTGACCTGTACTGTTTTTAGGACAAAGAAGGGTTGTATATGAGATCAAACAGATGTTAGATTATCAGTCACATCTCCTTCATTTTTACAGGAGGGACTTGAGGGTGGCTTTTCAGTACCCTCTGTACAGTGCTATTGTTACTTAACAGCACTGTACAATTCCTACATAATTTGCCTACATCCTTTCTTTAACTTCTATTTTCTATGCCTGTAGGTTTATTGCCCTTCTAAAATGGCCATTCACAGCCAGGCTTGGTGGTTCACTCCTTTAATCTCAGCATTCTGGAGGGCCAGAGACAAGGAGGATTGTGCATTCTAGGCCTCTCTGGATTACACAGGAGATGCTATCTCCAATAAAATAAAATAAAAACAGGAGCTGTGTATGTTTGTACAGCTCTATACATACATACACTGCATATGTACATATGCATGCCACGTGAAGAGGGCTTGGTTATTTGTGCCTTGAGATTTTTTTTTCCAGCTGTGTTCCTGGGACACACAGGGTTTTGAAATGACCACACTTGTTTGTGTGCCTCTCTAGAGGAGGGATGAGGGGTTCATTCCACTTTCCCCCTTAACGAAGGAGGAGAAAGACATCATCCCTGGCAGCCGGGGCACAGCTCTACTACCTGCTACAGCTGTCTTACTCTGTCCCAGGCCCTTTTTGAAAAGCAAAGATTTTGAAGGAAACCCAAGGGCATTGTAGGGATGCACACAGTCCCGAAAACACAGGTCACTTTGCAGAGGATAGTCCTGACTCATCCTGAATGCCCTAAAAAGCCTGTAGTCAGCAGCCAGGATTCCATCCCAGGGTGGATGATTTAATATGCTCGTCTGACCTCTTAGTTTTTTTCACCATTCCACCTTGAGCTTTCCTGGGTCCAAGTTGACCTTCATAATGAAGAAGCCTGTCCTCAGGCCCAGTACACCAAGCAGGTATGTGCTTCTTTAGAAATTTTCTAGTAAACTTGGAAGAGTATCCAGGCTTTAACTGTCCTTCTTACTCTCTAGTCTTTCAGTGTTCTTCCCTCTCAAAGTCTTGTCTCAGCTCAGTTAGAGAGTGTTAAAGCCAGTCACAAAGCCTGGACCCCAATGGCTCACATCGGTAATCCTAGCTAAACTCAGGAGGCTGGGACCTAAGGATCATGTTCAAAGCCACCCCAGGCTCCAGTTAGTGTGCACGCATGCATGCACACATGCACACACACACACGCACACACACACACACACACACGCACACACACAAATCCAGCAATAGAAATGTGGCACCACTAATGAATAACAATGCTCGAAGGTATGTGTTATGTCGGTAGGTAGGTATCTATACATCCATATCAGTCTATCTCTACATCCCTTACTCCCTTCCCCCTCTTTTTTCTAAATCACGGCTGGTGCTTTACCATTTGAGCCATAGCTCTACTTCTGACCTTTTGCTGCTTAATTAGAAATAAGAATCTCACAGATTTTCCTACCCAGGCTAGCTTCAACTCTGGTCCTTAGGTCTCAGGCATGAGCTACCAGTACCCAACTCTCATTTCACTTTTGCATTAATCAACCTTAAAGAAGATTTTAGCCCCATTTGCAGATGTGAAAACTAGTTAAAGATGAACTTTCCAAGATAACATTCGTAATGAACAGAATGATTCCAGTCTAGTCTGCCTGAGCCTAGAACTACTATTTTTTGTTTGTCTTGTCCAGTGCCTTGGATTACCTCCAGCCCTAGCCTGTACCCTTCCTAATTGAACATCCTTTTAATAAACAGGCATTGTCATTGCATCAGGGTGAACCTTAGAGGCAAGATCGGAGGTTACTGTTGCAGGTGGCAAGGCCAGTGCCCACTGCATCATGATACACAAGACCTTCTAAGAGGCCACTGTCCCCGGAAAGCTATACCAGCCTTTCTATCCACAGTCAGAAGCACTAATGAGCAGGCTCTGTATTAACAGGCAGACTCTGACCTTGCTCTGTCTGGGAAGCTTGTTGCTAAAGCCACTCCTCTTAGAAGCCTGAGGCCCTAAGCCCAGAGTACTCTCTGAGGGCCTTTGCTTTTGTTCTACAGTTCAAAGCCTTAAGAGTAAGGCTGGCCAAACTCAGCCAGAGGAAGTGTGATTACCAGCCATGTCTTAACATTTGAAAGTGGCACAGTGGATTGCTGAAGTGATAAGTATCATTTGCTTACACACACAGATCCCAGGGATATTTAAGACTCGCTTATGTGAATTCATGCAGAGCACACCACACAAGTGGTATTTTTCCATGGCTTTGTGGAGAGAGACCACAGCAGGGTTACAAGAGCACCAATTGAATGAGCAAGCTGAATGCTCACAGGGAACCTTGTCCCTTGCTCTTCCTTAAGATGCTCTGATAAGACAGGCGTCAGTGGCTCACACCTGTGATCCTAGCTACTCAGGAGGCTGAGATCTGATGATCGCAGTTCAGAGCCAGCCCAGGCAGGAAAGTCCAAAAGACTTAACTCCAACTAATCACCAGAAAACCAGAAGTGGTGCTGTGGCTCAAGTGGTCGAGCACTATCCTTGCTCTGAAGAGCTGAGGGACAGAGCTCAGGCCCAGGGTTCAAGCCCCATAACCAACAACAACAACAACAAAAAAGATGGCTGATAGTACATCCCTTTAGTTTGTAGGTCACCTCTGTCTTAGCCAGGTTTGTCTGGGAGTATAGATCTAATGGATGGAGCCACTCTTGCTTGCATGCCCTCCTCCTGGAGTTCACTGCAAGCTGGGCTGGGTATACCCTCAGTTGTGCCTCCTGCTGGAGGTCCTCCACTTTCTTGCTCCTTGGTGCAAATCCAACATTAGATTAGGAGATACTGGAAGGCTTTGCCTGTCTCACATGACTGACAGACATCTGGGGAGCTTTGTTCTTGGCTGTGCAGTGGGTTGAGTTCATGCAGGTTGGGGAGGGAGGATGGTGCCTAGGACAGTGAGGATTCTGCCTGGCTAATGGATACTAGGAAAACTGGGTGTGCCTTGTTTCTCAGAACGACTTTCTGCACATTGTTAACCCGAGCTTGGGTCACAGAAAATAGGGTGGATATGGGTGAACAGATGACTAACACAGAGATGGACCGTAATCTGTTAGCTGGCTTTCTGAGAACTAGATTCTGGGAGTGAGCGTGCTACAGTGTTGAATAGGAAGATGACAGCTAACATAATAGGTGACTGTAATATGAATGTTGGACACGGATTTAACTCTTGAGGTTTGAATCATACGAAAGGGCCCTTATCTACTCATTGACAAGCTATTTATTGAAATCTTTAGAAAGCTTGGTATTTATTGGGAGAAACATCCATCTCTTTGTGTCCTGGTTTGTATGATGTTTACCTTCTTACTTGGAAAAACTGTAATATGTTCATCTCAACTAAACACCACATGGGGGTAGGAAGCAGAAGCGTGCACGCACCTCACAGACAGCAGCATGGTGTATGTGAAAGAATCGTGCAACTCAGGGCCTGGCACACTATTAGCACTTACTCAATACAACACCGTGCAGAGATGTTTGGGGTTGGGATTGTATCTCAGTTGGTGGTAAGCAGCTGCTTAGCATGCACACAAGAACTAGGTTCAACCTCCAGCACCAAAAATTGAAAAAGTTCTTTGCTTGTTGTTATGTGTCTGCAATGGTAAAAGTAGGCAGTTGACTTCAAAGACCTAAGAAAAGGTAGACTGAGGAAAATGAGAAGTCTTAATTATCAGTCTTTCCCAGTTAGGGAGACTAAAGGGGAAAATAGCAGCTCCTTCTGAGTTTGAAACTCTCAGAGGAAAAGCAACTGATGGGAGGCACTGTGTTATGGGGGGGAGGGGAGGGGTCAACCCTAGCCAATAGGGTTGTATGAGCTCCTCCTGTAGCCACAGACGACATTGCTACCTAATAAGCCCCACAGATGCAAATAGGATAGAGGGATAGAGAACCACACACACACACACAGAGCTGGTCCTCATTCTCCTGTGCAGTCATCCACCTCATTTCTAGATTAAAACACCTCTAGCATTTGCATCTAGCTTCAAGAGATTACAAAATTTCATCCTAGAAAGCAAGTACTCAGGATAGCCCAGAGATGTCATTCTCTCTGAAAACAAATCCCAGGCTGAGATTGGCCTCACATGTAAAAACTTTGGTATTATTTTCACGTGCACACATTGTCTCCCCTGCTTGCCATCGCAGCTGGCAGTCAGGATCATAAATGAGGTGACTGTCCTCATTCACACTGGAGTCACTGGTGGGAACTGGTGTATTGAGCCGTTTCCCTGCAATGGGGTGCCACTTCCACATCTGATAAAACCAGCCCACCTTTCCAGGGCCTGGTGATTGGGTTTTTCTACCGGTGGAGACATGTCAGGTGGCTGTCTGGCCAGGGCAAGTTCAAGATTGGGGAAGATAACTGCAAGAGGCCATGACTGAAGAATGGATGGGTTTTGAGTAGAGCATATGAGAGTTCTGTATATGTTTTAATGATGGTTTGTTTTTTAATTAACTAGACAGCTACAGACAGTTCTTCTAATTCCTCTCAGAAGCGGGAACAACCTACTCGGACAATCTCCTCTCCCACATCCTGTGAGCACCGGAGGATTTATACCCTGGACCCATACCCCACAGACCATTATCACCTTGACCAGGTGAGCAGCATCCTCTCCTTCTCACCCCTCAGAATGGCCTCCTTCTTGGCCTGATACTCCAGCCTAGCCTTCTTTGGCTCTCCTGATTTGTACCCTACCCACAATGAAGGTGTTGGTGGTGGCAGTTCAGCCCTGCTTGACATTTTCTTGAGCCAGATATCCTGCCACACCCTTTGTATGCTTTTAAATTAGCCCTTATAAATCACTTCGGAGACAGGTTTGTCGGCATCCCCAGGTTATAGATGAGGATGGAGAGCCGTGAAGTACCTGCAGGACTGAGATTCAAGTCCACATCTGGTCTCACCCAGGGTACTAGGATAGCTCTGTGTTCCTTGGTCCCAAGGGCCTCCGGGCTTAGTGTGAAAGCATTAGGTCTTGATGAATGCTATACGCTTGGCATGGGCCCCCTGACACCAGAGGCTGTAGGCCAGTCTTGCTCAGGGAGATGTAACTGCAGTCTGGAATTCAATAATTCAACAAATATTTACTGAACAGCAGTTTTATGGAACAAGTTCCCAAATTGTGGGGCATGGACTGGTGCCTGTATGGCTACTAAACTGCTTTCAGATGAGAAACAGAGAATTCTTCTTCTTTTTTTTTTTTGGTCGGCCGTGGGGCTTGAACTCTGGGCCTGGGCGCTGTCCCTCAGCTCTTCAGCTCAAGGCGAGCGCTCTACCACTTGAGCTACAGCGCCACTTCCGGTTTTCTGGTGGTTTATTGGAGATAGGAGTCTCACCGTCTCTCCTTCCCGGGCTGGCTTTGAACCGCAATCCTCAGATCTCAGCCTCCTGAGTAGCTAGAATTACAGGCGTGAGCCACCAGTGCCCGGCAGAGAATTCTTCTTAAACCTAAATAAAGCTAGATTTGTTTGATTCTTTCTTAAAAGATCATTTTATTGTGTGCTTCCTAATATTTTGACATTAAGATGTTCTTTTTTTAAAAAAATCACATTACGGTCTCAGTGACTTTTTTTAAACTTCCCTTCTACAAAATAAAAATGAGAAAAAGCCAAGATTTGTTTTAAATCCTTCCAGATGATGATTTTTCAAAGACTGGGGAGCTGTGATTGGGAGAGTCTGGCAGGAAATAGAGCGAAATGTATGATGTGTAACAATAAAAAAAATTTTTTTAAAGTATTATGTGGCCTCCCCTTCAGAGAGCTCTTGATCTCATGGGAAGTACTGGGCAAATATCTTACCATGGGGTTAGTTCTAGAGCAATATATACTGACATGGATGGTATTCGACATCAAGCATCCTGTGGACCAGGAGCTTAGCTTACCTCCAAGCATTTGGTAGAGTTACTAAATTCTGTAGTCTTATGTTTGACGGCAGTGGGTCACTCCAAAGCCATACTCCTACTTCCTGAGATACCCTATGCCCAGAGGCCTTTAGAGGTGGGGAATCTCATTCTTTGCCTGGCCATGGCAGAAGTATAAGCTACACATGGAATGACTGTTTTCCAGTACCTGTTGATCTGGCCCAGATACTGTTGTATGTAAACTATAGTAAGACTAACTACAGCGCAGACCCCCTAAGGGATAGTATAGCCTAAATGTGAAAGTTCGTGAGTATGACCGGGTCTAGGTACTCACTATTTGAGGGATCCTAGCAGGATTCAAATCTACTCAGCTTCTGGTTGATCCTTTTCATATCTGTATATCTCTTTCAAATCAAATTTTAACCAGATGACAAGTTGCACCTTATGTATGTTCCTATGCTACATTTTCTGGCACACCTATTGTTCTAGAGAACAGGACCCCAAGTACAAAAATGCATTTTATGTTGTGACCAGTGTGCACAGTAAATTACAAAAGTTTCAGAGAACAGAACATAAAAGCAGGTAGTGCAACCCCAGTATTCATAGTCTTTTTTTTTTTAAGCCCCAGCCAATTGTGCAACAGAGCATGCTGTACCAAAATGGGCAGAAGTAAAGGAGGCTGTCAGAACTCCATCTATTGCATGCACTACTATGGTGGGACCTTCCTGGGGGAGGTAGGAAGAGAGAATTGTGGGGGCCGCATCTTGCTGTGTCTCCATCCGGGCTTCTGAACATGCATCCACGTGCATCCTTTATTGTTCACTTCCTGCATGTGTGGTGACACATCACAAGGAAAGGGAGAAAATTCTGAGCTCAACTACTTAATTGGATTCCTGACTCTGTAATGGATAGAAATTCAAATACAGGGGGCTGGGAAGATGGCTCAGTGGTAGATCGCTTGCCTTGCATGCCTGAGGCCCTGGGTTCGATTCCTCAGCACCACATAAGCAAAATGAAAAAAGCCAGAAGTGGTGCTGTGGCTCAAGTGGTAGAGCGCTAGCCTTGAGTTGAAGAGCTGAGGGACAGCGCCCAGGCCCAGAGTTCAGGTCCCACAACCGGACCCAAAAAAGAAAAAAAAAAGAAATTCAAATACAGTTGTCGATCATCCTGTAAAGGATCACTTACCGGCTGGGCCTGCAAGCACTGCTTGGCTGGAGCCTGTAATCCTAGCTGCTCAGGAGACTGAGCTCTAAGGATGGCAGCCTGGGCAAAGCAACTTCACAAGATTCTTACCTAGATCTCCAATTAACCAGCAGACAGCCAGACTTAGGAGCTGTGGTTCTCGTGGTAAGAGTGCTAGCAGCCTTGAGGGAAGGGAAAAAAAGCTAAGGGGGGGGGGGGGGGGGGTGCTGGCATCAAATATTAATAATGAATTAATTCACTAACTCATTTTAAAGCAATGGTAGCTTCCTGCCAGAAATGTCTGGGGGTGGAGGTTTGGATGAGATAGATGTGTGTTTTGAGGGATCGCTGCTGTTAACACCCGGCCTGCTTCCCCTCCTCCCCGGGGCAGCGGATGCCCAGGCCCTACCCGCAGGTGAGCTTCCCGGAGGACGACGAGGAGGTCGTGCGCATCAACCCCCGGGAGAAGATCTGGATGACGGGCTACGAGGACTACCGCCACGCCCCGGTGAGGGGCAAGTACCTGGACCCTGCGGAGGATGCCGACTCGTACGTGCACTTCGCCAAGGGCGAGGGCCCCAAGCATGACTACAACTACCCCTACGTGGACTCGTCCGACTTCGGCCTGGCCGAGGACCCCAAGGGCCGCGGGGGCAGCGTGATCAAGACGCAGCCGCCCCGGGGGAGCAAGGGCCGGCGGCGCAAGGAGGACGGCGAGCGCTCGCGCTGCGTGTACTGCAGGGACATGTTCAACCACGAGGAGAACCGCCGGGGCCGCTGCCAGGACGCGCCCGACCCCGTGAGAACTTGCATCCGCCGGGTGAGCTGCATGTGGTGCGCCCACAGCATGCTCTACCACTGCATGTCGGACCCCGAGGGAGACTACACAGACCCCTGCTCGTGCGATACCAGCGACGAGCAGTTTTGCCTCCGGTGGGTGGCTCTCATTGCCTTGTCTTTCTTGGCCCCCTGTATGTGCTGTTACCTGCCCCTCCGGGCCTGCCACCACTGCGGAGTCATGTGCAGGTGCTGCGGCGGGAAGCACAAAGCGGCCGCCTGACTCAGTTTCCCCCACCCCACCCCCATTCCCTTCTCCCTTGCCTTCCACCCCCCCATCTCCATCCTCAGCCTCCAGGGAACTCGTTGTCTCTTACACACCCTCTTCCCGGCTCCCTTTCACCCAAAGGGGCAAGGGGAGCCACTGAGGCCTCTTTTTCTTGGTCACCATTCATTCCAGTCTGGGGAACTTGCCCGGTGGGCTCTCCACTCCCCAGGGCCCCGGTTGTTGGCCACACACACCCCTCCACAGCTCGTACAGTGTTCTGGTGGAAAGGAACCTTCCGCAGAGACTCTTGTATTCTTACCAACCTGTAATCACGCTGTCTTTTCTCCAGGTGTTGATTTCCTGTCTCTCCTCGCCCACCCCCACTCCCCCCCATACCCAACGCCCCCCACACACACACCTCTTCCAGTTCAAAGAAGTCTGCAGTGCAAACGACTAGAATTGGGTTGGGGGGTGGGGGGATTGTCATGGGTGGTGTGTTCCAAAAGCACGGAAGACTTAAACTTTCTCTGGGTTCAGCTTGCCTGTTGCTAGCAAGCACCAGGCGCCTGCAGCAAATGTTAAGTCAGAGAAGGAGAAAACCCTTGCAACAGCAGTAGTCTAACCTGCAGCCAGTTACCTTGTGTAGGAGATGAGCTAGTCAACAATCTTGTACTACAGAATAATAGCGCTTTAACTTTTCTACAGCTAAGTTAACCATGTAAGCTGCGGTTTCCATCTTTAGTCGTCATTCCCATACCACACCAAATCTGTTGAACTTATTCACTGATGCAAAATACTCGCCTGCAAAACGACTGAGAATTGAGCCTTAACTTCAGATTAACTTATGAGAATTAAGAAAAATTCCTTTAACTGCATTGCATCTCTTGGACCAGGGCTAGAAAGGGGATTCCAGGTTTCTAGGAGCCCCCCCCCCTCAGTTTTTCCCTGTAACACAGAACTTTCTAGAATTGTGTTGCCACCACTTCTTTTAAAACAAAAAACTTAGCAATATTAGAATAACATGGATGAAGTAAGAAATTTTGCTCATTGTTTTTGTAATCCAGACACAAATCCATGTTTGCTAAGAAGCACTGAAGTTGTAGTGAATAACACAATCTGAGCTTCCCTAACCCCGGTGACAGTTTTATATTAACCAGGGAGGATTTTAAATGCGATACATTTAAACCCACCATTTGAGGAGTGGTGGATTGCATTTTGTCAGTGGGTTTATGTTTCTGGTTTTCCTTTTGGACTCAATTTCACATCATCAAACTCTTCATTTATACTTGGGAAAAAACAAGGCCATATGTAAAAACCCTTCCAATGCCTAAGTGTCTTTCTCCTGCAACTCTACATCCAGCCTTGCCACTTGGGTGCACAGTGGGTCAGGTTGCCAACTGATTCTGCCTGTCGCCTTGCCACGTAGGAGGCTTCTAATTAGCTGGAAAAGAGTATTTTTCTAATATATTGTAAGGAATAGCCAAATCTTATTGAAGAAAGAAGCCAGGTGCTGGTGGCTCACACCTGTAATCCTAGCTTACTCAGGAGGCAGAGATCAGGAGGATTGCAGTTCAAGGTCAGCCTGGACAAAAAAAGTTCATGAGAACACATCTAAACCAATAGTTGAGTTCAATGATGTGTACTTGTCATCCCCAGTGTGTAAGATATAAGAAGCTGAGATGAGGAGGAATCGATGTTCCAAACCAGACTAGGCTAACAACTTTTAGGATAACCTCCTTGGATCTCAACCAAAAAAAAAAGGCTGGATATGGTGGTGCATACCTTTTACCCCAGTTCAAGTGACAAGTATAAATAGGAAGATCAAGGTCCAGCCCAGTCTTGGCAAAAAGTGAGACCCTAATCTCAAAAATAACCAGAGCAAAAAAAAAAAGGTAGGAGGAGGGGGACAGGGAGTGTGCGGCTCAAGCAAGTGCAAAGTTCTAAGCTCAAACCCCAGTATACCTCCCCCTCCCCTCAAACAAAAATGAAAGATGTACCTAGCATAGTACAATCAGATCTGTCCATGGTAATTGCCAGCGAGAGGCTTTGCCTAGTCCCCTACCCACACCCCTCACTTCCCACGGTCCCCTTTCTTTATTGCACTCAAGACTTCAGTGTTCAAGGAAAGGACTCTTCCAACCTGCCAGTCACATTGGGAAAATGCTAGCCATGCTTACCTTTGTCAGGAGTGTTTTATTTCTTTGAGACAGATCGTCAGTGTAAATACCCCAGTCAGTGTGCTGATGACTTAGTTGGTAGATGTTTTCATTTGTTAGAATGACTGGTTGGAGCTATCCAGTGTGGAAAAGGAGCAGAGAGCTGCACGTCGGGATCCGTGGAAGGGAAGAGAACCCCCTTCTGGAGAACATCTAGCAGACCCTCAGCCAGCCTCCTACTGTGGAGAGACCACTGTCCCCTGCCTGAGGGACCGCCTCGGGGCCTTTCTCTAAGGTCCCCTCTGCAAAGCACAACACTAATGTATGTTTCGTCAGACCTCAGTTACGTCGCCCCTATTTATTTCAGTAAGAACACACGGGTCCCTTTGTGTTGGTCACCTGTATGTAGCTGTCACTCATCCTGTCTTCCTCAGCCCCTTGCTGGTTTTCATCTCTTGAAGAGTATATGCTAGTGAATCTGACTCTGTGTATCTATCCTTTGGTTTTGTGAAGGCAGTGGTTCAGGGCACAAAGACAGCCATGGGGACATTTGTGTAAATACAAATACGTCTGTCTCTCTTCGCCACACTGAAGCTGAACAGTGTGCCGTATTTTCCCAGTCAGCTTTGCCATACTGATGTCAATCATTTGAGAGAAATTATTCAGATTTTATTTTTGTATCTGTGGTAACAAAACATTAACCAAAAGATTTTTCTGTTTAGAAGCTTCACACACACACACACACACACACACACACACATCCCAAAGCTATTTGCTGACATTAACAAATTAAAGTGCCTGAAGCATAATTCATTCTTTACCTGTATACTAAAAAAAACAAAAAACAAAAAACCCTGTTGTATTGATTTTTTATAATAAGCCTTTTTACCTGTGTAAAATATATATATACAAGTGTATGATGTATATTTTAGTTCTTAACTTTTTTTTATGGTTTCTAATATGTTTGACCAATGTAGCCATTGCGTTAAAATGTATCATGTAAATATAAAAACATCCTATCAGATTGCTGGCTTTGGAGTATTTGTCTGGCTGGAGCTGGGGAGGGAGTCAAGCCTTGGTGTCTGGCACACAGGATGGGATGTGCAGACACCGGTCTGTTTTTGTGAGGCCCTTCCTGCCTTTAGTTATGTCATGTTCCCCAGGGAAGACTGCAGCTCCATGGGCTCAGATGCCTCAAGTGAAAGGAATGCTGTGTGACACACAGACACACACACGCACATACACCCCACCGCCTGGGAAACACCCCCTCATCCTAGGCCTGCCTTCCCGCACTGTCCCTCAGAGGGAACAGCTGTACTTCCTCCAGTTTTCCACCAGTTCCTGCTCAACCTCAGGGGTGTGGGTGTATGTAAGAATTTCTCACAGAAGACTGCTTCAAACTTCAGAACCCTTGGTCCTCAGCAGCACTCACTCTCCAAATGCACCCTGTGACAATCTCCAGGAGGAAAGAAAACATGAGGTCTTTTGAGGGTCGCAGAGGAAAGCTGGCTCCTTTAGAAGGGCCTTCCATCTTAGTGTTAACTCTTCCCCCATAGGCATGACTTTCCCAAGCCACCAACCAAGGGAGCTACTGCAAGTTAGTGAGAGAACTAGAGGGCAGGACCTAACAAGACCTTCCTTGCTCTCCATTCTTTGTGTTCGGCTGTTTTACAGTTGATAAACCCAGCCTTACAATGGGTAACTAATGTGACCCAAAGTCACATGAGGCCAGCTGATCCAGGCAGGTCGGGACTAGCACCCAAAGCCTTCCCTCCCCAGCTGCCTTACAATGGTTTGTTGCCTTTGGTGCCCTGTGTACTTGGCCAAGAACTTGGCATCTTGTTCTATTCCAAAAAGCCTGTTAATCTTATCCAGGAGTGCTTAGGGACCATCTAGGTAGGAGAAAAATGAGTGGGTGCTATCTCAGGAACTTCAAATTTTTATTTTTTGTGCCAGTCCCAGGGCTTGAACTCAGGGTCTAGGCACTGCCTTTTAGGTTTTTCACTCAAGGCTGGCACTCTACCAGTTGAGCCACACCTCTTTTTACTGGTTAATTGGAGAGAAAAGTCTTACAGACTTTCCTGCCCTAACTGACTGAACCATGATTCTCAGATCTCAGCCTCCTTATTAACTAGGATTTCTGGTTTGAGCCGCCAGTTCCTGGACCTCTACAAAATTGAGTGGTCTCTACAGAAACATCATTCCATCAAGCTCATTGAACACTTGGTACCGGTAGCCTTTGGGCAAAATGACCTCACCTGAGTTGAGCTTCCCAGAGAATCTTAATCACAGGACCCAAGTCCAGGTGCTTAACTTAGCGTGAGGTCCAAAGACAAGTTGTTGAGAAAAAGTGACTATTCAAAAAAAAAAAGCCAGCTAGGGGCTGGGAAGGTGGCTCAGTGGTAGAGTGCTTGCTTCACATGCATGAGGCCCTGGGTTTGATTCCTCAGCACCACATAAGCGAGAAAAGCTGGAAGTGGCGCTGTGGCTCAAGTGGTAGAGTGCTAGCCTTTAGCTGAATTGCTGAGGGACAGCGCCCAGGCGCAGAGCTCAGACCCCAGGACCAACAGCAACAACAAAAAGGCAGCTACTTCTTGTCTGGGGAGTGTACTGGAGATGAGAAACTGGTGGCTATCGCCTCACAGGTGGAGGTTGTAGCCAAGTAACACAACTAATTCTAATCACCTAGCCTTCTGTAGTCTCAGGGACAGAGACCATTATTTCCTCCCACTTTTCTTATCCCTGATAATCCAGTCACATCCGTTTCTGCCACTTCTCAATGGACAGGCTAGATGAGCTTCTTACTGATTACCAAACTCCTGATAAAGAAAGATCATACTTCACTTGGAAGGCAAGGGACAGGTCAGGTGAACTAGGGAGTGACTGCTCCTAGTAAAGGGAGCACATGGAAAAAGTTCAGTATTCTACCCTAGTTACAGTGTGACCCACAGAAGAGGCGCTCTGCTTTTCTTTCTTCCTTTGCTCTGGGCCCTTAGGAAACCAGGAGCTGGAGAAAATTCTGTTTCAAAACACAGCAGGCCAAAGCACATGGTGGGTATTGATGTTCTATTCCTTCTTTCACCTTGTGATTCTGAATTCAGTTGTCTTTCCTTAAAGAGCTTTCTGGTATGTTAATAGCTCAGGTGAGAGTTGCACAGGTTCAGTAAGGTTGGCTACCTACTGGAGAGGAAGTCAGTGGCCTCGATGGTTCTGCAGGACAGGCTGGGCCCTACTCAGTGGTACTTGTTGATTGACACTATTTGCCTGCACTTTCTGCTGCTCCTTCGATGGTGGTCACCCACTACCCCTCTCATAACAGTGGACCCACACAAGCAGGCCACTCTCCAGGGTGGTTGGATGAGCCCTGTTTCTCCAGGACTCTCAAGGCAGTTTTAATTTCTTTTGTTGGTCATGGGGCTTGAACTCTGGGTCTGAGCGCTGTCCCTGACCTCTTGAGCTCAAGACAAGTGCTCTGCCACTTGAGCCATAGCACCACTTCTATTTTTCTGGTGATTGGAGATGAGTCACACGGGCTTGCCTGCCCAGGCTGGCTTTGAGCTGTGATCCTCAGATCTCAGCCTCCTTGAGTAGCTAGGATTATAGGGGTGAGCCATTGGTGCCCTGCAGCAGTTTTAATTTATCCCTCTTCATAAGCAGATAATCAAAGGGCCAGCTTGTGAAGACAGAATGAGGGGACCTTCCATCTATGCCAATATTCCCCACCATAGGCCTGCAGAACTATTTGGCTTTCCAATTTGTATAGTGAGATGGTTAGATGGACCGTTTGATTGTTTTTCTGATTTGCTTGGTAGTTTGGCATAGTTTTCTATTTTCACAGTGCTGGGGATTGAATTTAGGGCTTCGTGTTTTCTGAGTTCCACTCTTTAACACTGAGTTCTAGCTCCATCCAGCCCGCATTTATTTAAGCCTGGGCCACATGTGTTGAACAAAGGGAGATGGCGCTGGTTGCATTTCACTCACCAGACACCATCTGTGACTGGGCCTGATAAGGCCTACACAGCTTCTTCAGCTGGAACATCCAGGATTAGTACTTGTGAACAGAGGCAGCTTCTGCAGGGCAGGCTGGGGGCTGGAGGCTTTGTACGTTTATAAGAGAAGATAAAGTTCCTATGATAGTCATATTTGGTATCCTTTTCTTCTCTTAGGTCATTTCTCTTTTTTTTCCACCAAAAGCCAAGGTGAGTCAGGTGTGGTAGCATATCCTTAAAACCTTCAACATTTAGGAAGCAGAGATTGGAAAATCCTGAGATGGAATTTAAAATTTTATCTCAAAATTAACATCTGAGACAGAGGGATTCTGACTATAATATCAAATAACATATGTAGTTGTAAAAATGTTACTGTAAAAATATTCAACTGAAAGTTTTCTTGTATTCATTTGCTAAGAATGCTGTAGCCAGATACCACAAACTAAGTGACTTACTAACAGAAATGGACTATAGGCTGGAGGCCAATAGTCCCAAGATCAAGGTGTCAGCAAGGCTGTCAAGGAAGATCCATCCCAGACCCTTTCTCCTTGGCTTGTGGTTGGCTGCCTTCTCCCTACCTCTATGCATGTCTCTGCCAACATTTCTGTCTTTTGGGTAAGCTAAGGTAGAGCATTTGCCCAACATTCCTGAAGTCCTTGGGTTTGATTCCTAGTAAAACACAGACACACACACAAACACAGCTATACACACACATACACACAAAACCACTTTTTATAAGGACACGGGTTACTTTGGAACCAGACTCATCTTAAGGACCTAATTTGAATTTGATTATTTCTGTAAAAATCCTATCTTCAAGCCAGTGTGGTATGGTAGCACATACCTGTGATCTCAACTATTCAGGAAAGGGAAGATGGAGGATCAGTTCCAAAGATGTCTGGGTATAATTAGCTCACAGCCATATCTGGAAAAATAAAATAAAATAAAAGTAAAGGATCTGGGGCATAGCTCAAGTTAAAAATCAAAGACCCAGAAAGCAGGACACTTAGAGGCTCACACCTATAATCTAAGCTCCTCCGGAGAGTGAGATCTAAGGATCATAGTTCAAAGCCAGCCTGGACAGGAAAGTCTGTGAGACTTTCCAATTAACCACCTGAAAACTAGAAGTGGAGCTGTGGCTCAAAATGGTAGAATGCTAGCCTTGAGCAAAGGAACTCAGGGACAGTGACCAGGTACTGAGTTCAAGGCCCACAATTGGCAAAAAAAAAAAAAAAAAAAAAAAAGACCCTGAGTTCAAAGTGTCACAAAAAAAGACCCACCCCCATCTCCAAATAAAGTCATATTCTGAGGTCCTAGAAGTTAGGCTCCAACATTTGAAGAGGGGGCATAATTGGACTCCTAACTCTCCCCTATTACATCAAAGGTAGCCACTATATCCTGTACTGTCTGTGTGTGCACAAACGTATACACATGTATACATATACACTAGCACATGTATACATAAAATACATGTGTATGATGTACATGAATGTGTTTTATCTTTGAGGGGAACTAAAAAAGCCCCATACTGCTCTGAAGATGATATTTGTGTGATATATGTGTGTTGGTCTGGAGCTTGAACTAAGAGCCTGGGTGCTGTCCCTCAGCTTTTGTCCAAGGCTAGCACTTGAGCTACAACTCTACTTCTGGCTTTTTGGTAGTCAATTGCAGGTAAGAGTCTCACAGACTAGTATTACAGGTGTGAGCCACTGGTGCCTGGCTAAGAATCAGATTTTGTTGTTGTTGTTGTTCAGTCCTGGGGCTTGAACTGTGGGCCTGGGCGCTGTCCCTCAGCTCTTCAGCTCAAAACTAGCACTCTGCCACTTGAGCCACAGCGCCACTTTTGGTTTTCTGGTGCTTAACTGGAGATAAAAGTCTTATCGCAGACTTTCCTGCCCAGGCTGGCTCTGAACCACAAACCTCAGATCTCAGCCTCCTGAGCAGCTAGGATTACAGGATTGAACCACCGGTGCCTGGCTAAGAATCATATTTTTAACTCAGCAGAATTTTCTTCAGTGATAGTTTCTGTACTTTT